TGAAAACTAAATATTGAGTAAAACGTCACTATGAGCATGTCTTTGATGGGGAACATCAGTGTCTGTGACTGGAACGTGTTCGGTTTGTTGGGTTTTTAAAAATAATGTTTGAATATTTGACCAACATGTTTCACACGATTATAAAGTTGCTGTGTGGACACATTGTTGCATGTTTGCTCAGGCTGCTGGAGGGAAATGCTAACATGATCATTTAACACTGCAGTGTGCTGGTGTGATGAGTCAGACTCAAACTGGAGTTCGTCTGTGCTGCTTTATCTTTGTTCAGTAAAAGTGTGAGACAGTAGTGACTGACGGCCTTGAAACAGCTGTGTCTGAAACTAAAGCTGTGACACAATCTGAAGAGTTTGAAAAGTCAGTTCCACTGTGGAACCAGTTCAGAGTACATACATGCACTGGTTTCACTGGTTGTGTTTCCAAATACATGCTGTTTGGTACTGATGCCAAAAAAACCAAACTGTCAACGGTGGGATGCTGATGGTCAGGATCAGACGGAGGCTGTTTGACTGGTTTTCTTGTGGCTTTTATCAGGAACTGGGAGAGGAGGCCGGACTGGTGGTCGGATAAAACGAGGTGTCTGCAGAACTGTGATATCTTTATTTCTTTATTCTTATTGGGTTGTTCATTGTATTTATTGTAGTAGTGGTGCTTAAAGTAAGTGATGGTGCTCATCGTCTCTCCAAGCCTTTTACTCCCAGCGTTAGCTCAGACTAGGTTATATTTCAGCTGATTATTATTTTGTGATTACTGTCTGCATTTGTTTTTGCTTTGTTAGTTTGCTTTAATAAAATATCCTTCATTAAAGACGTCTAAACTTTTGACATTTTCGGCTTTTTAAGGGCAAAAATCTGAGCACTAATGCTCAGTAGTATAAATAACTTTTAAACTGCTGGAGGAACATGTAACAGACCCTTGAGACCTGCTGTCCAGGCCGCTGAATTTAAGCCCTTTTTGTTAGAGCTGGTAGTTTTTCTCTGCCAGTATAAAAAGCATCTGACCAAACTGGAAGTGCAGTCGTTCAGAAATGGAACCATTTTGGAACAACTGCAGGTTCCAAGAGTTCTAACAGTTGGAAGGACAAGTTCTTCCAATGCTCCCCTCTTTGCCAAGGTCGAGAGGAAGACTCACATTGTCTTCCTCGGATTGGAGAAGGTTGGTTAGGATCAGGAACAACCTGGGATCCACCAAGTCTCTGGCATGATGTGGACAGCAGCTTCTCTGAGTTTCATGGACTAAGTGCCAACTAAAAACAAAGACCTGCTCCAGATGCTCTCAAGCTCCACTGAAATTTGGAGTTTTGAGGGAAACTTTTGGGCGATTTTTTTTTTAAAAAACGTGTAATATAGCTAAACATGACAGCACTGACAAAGAAAAGCCCCACAGATATAACCAGCCCTGATTCAGTGGACAGCTTTGTCCATCAGAGTCTGGGAAAGCTGTTTCCCATGTTTGTGCACGAGCGCTGTGTTTTTCCTGCTTCATCACAGAAGCTCAAAGAAACCGTTTTGTTATCACACTCTGAACTTTGTCCCGTTTTTCATGATTCTCTGTTTGAGTAACTGAACTGGGAGCCAGCCAGTTGTTACCACACACTACAAACAAAACAGCCTGGCTGCCTGAGTGAATGTGTTACAATAAATGTGTGGACATGGATGTTTTTAAACGATACATCAACGGTAGTTTTGGAGCAGCAAAAAGAAGTTGTTTTTCTGGCTAAAATATTTACAATACGATGAAACTTCCTACAAAAACAAAGACTCAGAGATATTATCAGATAAAAGTCCTCCATCGTTCCTCTGCATGCTTCAGAAAAGCAGAGTCCCTGCACTCTGGATGGGTTGAGGTCCATCTGTCCTCAGGATTACCTGGTGAGATGGATTCAGTGGAGAGGCTTCCACATGTGTTTGGGGCATGAGCTGATCCCAGCAGGAGTGTTTGTTTAGTCCACA